ACTCAGGAGGCAGAGGCCAACATGGGATACGTAGTGAATTTAAAACCAGCCTGAATTACAGAGCAAGACTTTGTCTCAAAAAGCAAAAACAAATAACAATTCCTCTAAATTATTTATTCTGTAGAACAAATTGTGTTTGTCTAGTCACTCCATTATAATTTTGATTTCCTATTTAAACTAAGTGTTGACAAGTTTACTTTTGCAAGAGGCATTATCTTTCTGCAGTTTATCATGTCTTCCCCTGTTTAAAACTATTATTGGCTCTTCCAAGTCCTGTAACAGACACCATACACTCAGATGTATTCAGGCTTGTGAGAAAAGACTGGGTAACAGACCAAAGGGTGTTGTGGGTATTGACAGCTGCTGGAGAGTGCAGATCATACAGCCTATAGATGTTTAAGTGCACATCAAAAGTGAAACAGAGAAATACTCTGCAGGCTGAACAAGACACCTTGGCCAGCAGGTTTTGATTCGTTATCATTAACATGGCATACAGAGGCCTTTACAGTTTACCCCCCACCACACGCACATGCACACACATGCTCCTGATTTTTTTATGTGGCTCTGCTTTTGTACTTCCTGGAAAGCCTTTCTCCTCTACCAAAAGATGCAACGTGTCCGTTAAGACCCACTCTACCATGAAATTGGTCTAATTTGTCAAGCAAAATGTCTTACTTAACCTAATATATCATGTTCAGATTTTTATTATTCCCTTTATTACATAGCTGTATGATTATTTCTGTATTTCTGGTAGCTTATCTAGGGTGTAAATCCCTTCTGCCAACTGCTACCTTATTTATCTTGACATTCTTGGGTCTGGCATATAAGAAGTGTTCTATTTTTGAGTGACCAAATTCATTTTATTAAATGAATTTAAATGAATAATCTTACTAATTGTAGCAAGAATGGCCTTGGGGAGAGCCATGATCCAAGCAGATGATTATATGATAAACATGAAGCCCTAAATTGATTAATATCATTTAATTTTTGTCAAAATTAAGGTAATTTACTTGATTTTTTAAAAAACACTTTTTTTAAAAATTTAGGAAAGGGTTTACAGGGTGTTAAGGGTCTCATTAAACTAGATCGGACTTGTAGTGATCTATCTGTTTATAGCCTCCCAAGAGCTGGGATTCCTCTCAGCGTGCTCCGAAGGCAGAGCCAATACAGCAGGGCCGGGATCGAACCCCTAAACCGCTGAGCTATTTGGCCGGCCCTTTACATGAAATTTTTTTTTGTTTGTTTGTTTGAAAACAATAATTTATTGCTTTTCTTTCCAAAGTATTGTGAACTTACAAAAATGAGTGAAGTTTACAGATTGCTTAGTTCATACTTAGAATGCAAGAGGTGAGGACCTGCTCTGTGTGGCCACTGACAGTGGCTGGGCACTGATGTTTAATACCAGCTCCCCCAGACTCCCATTACTGCCTTCCGGGGCTGTGCTCCTTACATACCGTCTTGTGACATACTTAGGTCACCAGTCAAGTCACTGGAATGTAGAGGGTTTTTTTTTTTTTTTTGCTGAGAGGGGCTTTTTTTGCCTTCCTGCTATAAAAATGAAATTTTCAGTTCATTTCTAAAAATAAATTGGTCAATAAATTCATTTTGTTCTGCTTCTATTTTACACAAAGCTTCATATTCAACTCGATACCTTTCTAGCTGCATTTTCTTTTCTGCTATTAATGTTTGAAGTTGCTGTTGCTGGCCTTCCCGCTGCTTTGCTATAGATTTGAGCAAATTCCAAGCCCCAATGGCCTTCATCTTCTCATTTTCTGCTTCTTTTGCAAGTTGGTCAACAAGCTCAATTAGACCACCAACTATTTTCTGAAACTGGCCAATTTTGTCCACAAAGTCCTTGTACTCTTCCTTGAGCTCTGTGGTCTGCTGCATAACCTCTGGGTCTAACACCCGCAGGTTATTCAGCTCATCAAAGTATAAGCCGGCTTTGCCCAGGATGTCTTTGGCCATAGCTGCCGATGTGGTAATGGTGGCATCCTTCAGCCTAGGTTGCTGCTGTGGGCACACAGCTTCTCTCCCAGTATGCTGCCACCAGTAAACAGTCGGCCGGACTCGGCCGCTGCCATGGCTACAAGACCTGAAATTTTCTTAATACTTCGTGTGTGTGTGTGTGTGTGTGTGTGTGTGTTAGACAGGGTCTTACAGTTCAAGCTGGCCTTGAGCTCACTTTGTAGCCCAGGCTTGTCTTAAACTTGTGATCCTCCTGCCTTAGCCTCCCAAGTGCTGGGATTATAGACGTGTGCCACACTCTGGCTTCTTAATCCATTTGTAAATGAATTTGAATTTTGTTCACTATATTGTCTACATATATATGAAAAATGATACACACAGATGAGCAGCACCTCCAGTGTTCATCTGCCAGAAGTGCTTTGTGTTCCTAGTACTCTAGTACTCTCACGTACTTTTGGTAACTCCACAGTTGGCTGGTAAAAGTACTGCCTGACGGCCTGTATCACTCAGTGTTACTGTTGGAAATTTCATGTGAGAAATTCCTTACCGAGCCAAGTAGTTGGAAAAGCTTTGCTCTCTGGAGTATTTGCTGTATGTTTTCCTTTTACAGTACTGAGCATAGAACCATGGCCTTCATGCTAAGCTTTGTCTTCCTCCACCACCTCACCTTTTATTTTTTGAAACAGTGTTTCACTAATAAGTTGCTAAATTGCTTGGAGGTGGTTTTTTTTTTTTTTTTAGAGGTGATTGAACTCAGACCCTTGCCCTTGCCAGGGAAGCACTTATTCTACTGAGCCATCTCCCTGGCCCCTAATGGGAGTGGTCTTAAACTTGTAACTCTTCTTCCTCAGCCTCCCAGGTGTTTGGGTGATAGGCATGCTTGTATATTTCTCTTTAGACAGTGAGAACTATGCAATTAAACTTTTCTCCTTTTTCCTATTGGCCTTTGGGAAGCTCAGAGCCAAAGTATGTCATTTGGTTGTACCAGCAGTACAGAGCCTTAAGTGCCTGATAAAATCTTTCCATTTTTGACTTCTGTTTTCATAACAAGGTCCCACTATGCAGTCTTAGTCTAGGCTGACTTTGAACTTGTGATCCTCTTGCTTCACCCTCCTAAAGTGCTGGGGTTACAGGTGTGCACCAGTTGAGTTCTTTTTCGTTTGTGTGCATGTGTGTGGTACTTGGGATTGAACCTAGAGCTTTCACACTGAGTTACATACCTAACTTTAAAAAAATATATATTTTGAGACAAGATTTCGTTAAATTTCCTAGGGTGGGCTTGAATTCGTGATCCTCCTACTTACCCAGTTATAGGATTATAGGCACGTTCTACCATACCTACCTTTTTTGTTTGTTTGTTTGACAGTGACTTCCTACTTGGCTTTACTTTATTTGTTTACATTTACCATTTTATTGCATGTGTTTCCCAAAAACTAAAAATTCTTCGAAGATAAAAGAGGATATAAATAAATCTCAGGCCCTTTATTTGTGATCAGCTGTATGTTAAGCACTAGACCTACTTATTCTAAATAGTGATACCTGTACGCATATATCTTTGTTCTTTATACTACATTGAATCATATGTAGAAGTTAGCATGTGAATAGAAACCCAAATCTCTTAAGTATTTGATTGTTTGTTGAAACGGTGTTGCTATGGAGTTCAGGCTGGTCTTGAACTCACTGAGTAGGGCAGTCTGGCCTGAAACTCAACAGTGGTTTTCTTGCTTCAGCCTCTCAAGTGCTAGGATTACATGCATGTGCCAGCTGGCCAGTTAAATATAGTATTTATTAGCAAAAGTGTAGTTTCATTTACTACGGATCACTTTCAAGAACTCTTTATAATATTAAGTATATCATGAAGAGGAGTATCTCTTCAGAGAAAAAGCTAGGTGTTGCTCTGACTGCAACATACCTTGGCGAGCAAATATGAGGTCTTTGTTGGTAGAGGCACTTAAGAAATGGACATGTGTTTTGAAGGTAATGTTTAAAAAATTTTTTTTAATTAATTAATTTATTTATTTTGTGTGTGTGTGTGTGGCCAGTTCAGCCCACCAGGGGGTGGGGCTGGCTGGCATGTGGTGCTGGGGATTGAACCACAGTCCCTGTGCTTTTGCTTAGCTTAGCTTGTTCTAAGTAGGTGCTTTAGACCACTGAGCCATCTCACCAGCCCCTAAAATTTTTACTTTCACCAATTTTGTGTTTATGTCTCAATCTGAGCAACTACATTGAAGACAGAAATGTGCAATATAACAACCACTGTTGAATGCCTGTCTTATTTTTAAAATTGTGTATTGTTTCTACTATCTTTATTTAATTTTTCTATTCTCTTTATTTTATTTATTTATTTATTTATTTTTGTCTTTTTGAGACAGGGTCTCACTATGCAGCTCAGGCTGGCCTTGAGCTCACTTTGTAGTGCACCCTGGTCTCAAACTTGCAATGATCCTCTTACCTCAACCTCCTGAGTGCTGGGATCACTGGCATGCACCACCATGCCTGGCTTTATCTCTTTAAAATTAAGAAAACAGAAATAGACATGTGGAAGTATAAACTTTTTTCAGTGTTTTATCTTTTTGAATTTTTGTGCTATATGTATACATTACCTAATCAAAAATTTTTTCAAAAAATAATAAAAGTAGTTTACAATCATTTCCAGTGGACTATCAAGTGTGCCAGATTCCTCTCAGTAATCCTGAACCTAGTGCAGTACTTTACAGATCATATATCCGCAGCACATGTGTGAAAATATGAATTAGAAACTAAGAATTACAAATTTCTATAGAGACAAATACTAAAAATTACTGAAAATTTGTGTGGTAAACTTATGTCTCCTTAACTCTGTTCTCCTTTTTCAGAGTAAGACTGAGACCAGCTTCTTAGCTCTGAAGTAACATGAGTTTTCATTAGCATCCTTTATTTGGAAGAACTTGCAAAATAAATCATTTTCCTAGTTAGGGAGGACATGTTTGTATGTTATATAGTGGGGTTTCCTTCAGGGTGACTTCCGCACTGTTTTTTACCTCTTTGTGCAGATCTTTGTAGAATTTGATGGCTGTAACTGGAAGCAACATTCCTGGGTTAAAGTTCATGCTGAGGAAGTTATTGTGCTTCTGCTGGAAGGGTCACTTGTATGGGCACCTCGGAAGGACCCTGTTCTTCTCCAGGGCACTCGAGTCTCAATTGCACAGTGGCCAGCCCTGGTAAGTAACTTCTTTTCTCCTTTTCTTTTCTCTCCGTTCCATTCCTTTCCTTTTCTTTTCCTTTCCTTTTCTTTTTCTTTTCTTCCCTTCCCTCCCCTTCCCCCCAATACATAAATGAACCCATTCATATATTGAGTTAAATATCATCCATTTCAGTGTTCTCTCTCTCTCTCTCTCTCTCTCTCTCTCTCTCTCTCTCTCTTTTTTTTTTTTTTTTTTTTTGTGGAACTAGGGATTGAATCAGTGTTCTTTTTCTCTGTAAAAACCATGCTTCTCCTTTCTGAGCCTTGCTTCCCCAGTGTATTTTTCTTTTCTTAAACTACAAATGAAGGTTATTTGGCATATTATTGATAAAAATAGTTATAACATTTAACTCCCTTCCCTTCAATTCTCATTCTCTCTCTCTCTCTCTCTCTCTCTCTCTCTCTCTCTCTCTCTCTCTCATTCCTCAGGTTTAACCAAGGCTCTCATGCATGCTAGGTTAACACTACCACTGAACTATATATTCCTTGCCTCTTCAATGGTTTTTATTAGGTAGGAACATATTTGAGTTTTCTTTCTATAATTATAGTGTTTACCTAGTAGCTGACCTTTAGAATTCACAAAAACTGAATGGTTTGTTCTTAGTAACACTTTCATTCTGAAGTTAGCAAAGCAAAAATTAAGCTTTCTCCTGTGTCCTAGAAAATTTTTATAATAGATACTATTTGACACTTTTTACCTCTAATTTTTTTTTTTCCATCTTTAATCTTTTCAGTGCAAGGTTTTCTTTTGTGGTTTTGTTCTGTTTTCATCTGTTTTGCTTTGTTTTGTTTTTGGTACTGGTGATCAAACTCAAGACCTGGCAGGCATTGTGGGTTTGGTTTTTTTTTTTTTTTTTTTTTCATGAAGAAAGCTTATATAATCACTCATGTATAAATAAAGGCTACTGATTTTGCTCTGGGTTGAAGAGACATACTAGACCCACTGTGTTTCTCTGAGTCTTCTTTGCCGCCTGCTTTCCTGTCTCCCCAGGTTGTTGTTCCCTGGAAGCTGAGGCTGGACCTCAGCATTGCACAGTACCTTGATTGGACCTGCCAGGGTGCACACTTGGATCTCGCAGCTCCCAGCAGTTCCATCCTAGGCACAGTTACGGGCCTCCGGGGGCCTCCAGGGGCATGGGAGGTGCAGCACATGCAGCATTTGGGCATAGGCCGGGAAGGCACAGAATGGACCCATCTTGTGTTTTGTTTTTTGAGACTGAATTTCACTATGTACTTTAGGTCTTGAACTCACTATGGAGCCCAGGATAGCCTCAAACTTAGAGCAATCCTCCTGCCTCAGCACCCCAAGTGCTACAGTTACAGGTATACAAGTCTACTATACCTGGACTTAGTGCAGTGAACCAATGTAGCCCTTAAAATTTTTTAATTATCAAGTATTATTTTATGAAATGAGATAAAGTAAGAGTTATAATGTTTAATTTGAGTGTTATTTCTTTTAAAGGATTTTTTTTTCCTGCTCTGAATGCCTTCAGGGCAGGTTTAGCTGGCTTGAGTTGTGGGGATCAAACCACAGTAACCTGAGGCTGACAGCTTTGTGGAAGCAGCCACTTAAAGAACTGAGCTAGGGCCAGGCCCCCTATTTCTTTTGGATTCTATTTTGTTAGCAAAGTGTAGGCATAAGGGGTAGACTCAATTTCAATTTTTCTGTGACTAACTAAATTAAATGCTAATAAGTTTTTGCTTTTTTGAAACAGGGATTCATGATATAGTTTAGGCTGGCCTCAAACTTGTAGAGATTCTCTTGCCTCAGTCTCTCAAGGGCTGGATTTATAGGCTTGCACCACCATGACCAGTCCAAAATTTTTTTGAGATAGAGTCTTGCCATGTGGGTCAGGGCTGGTTTTGAACTCCTTATATAACCCAGACTGGCCTAGAACTTAGAGCAGTCTTCCTGCCTCAGCTTCCCAAGTGCTGGGATTATATGTGTGTGCCATTGTACCCAGCTCAAAAAAATTATTTAACTATAGTATTAAAATGTCAGTATAATAATTTACTAAACTGTCTTCTGTGATGGTTCTTTTTTTTTCTCCAATACTGGGGATCAGATCCAGGGCCTTGTGCATGCTAGGGAAGTGTTCTATTACTGATCTACACCCTACCATACTCACTCTTTTTCCCATCAGTCCCAAGGATTGAACCCAGGACCTAAACACAGCCTTTTTTATTGTTGTTTCTTGAAAATGGGGTCTCACTAACTCACCTAATTGCTATGGGTGGGCTTAAATTTACAACCCTCCTGCCCTAGCTTCCCAGAGTGCTGGAATTAAAAACGTGTACCACTATGTCCAACTCCCAGCCCTTTTTTAAGTTTTTGTTTTGACAGATGGCCTTAAATTTGTTAAGTTTCATGGGCCGGACTCAGATTTGCAATCTTCCTGCCCTAGTCTCCCAGACTTTCATTTGTTTTTAGGGCTACTTTTCAATTAAACTTTTAGGAGAAATTATTTTATAAGTGGATATAGATTCATGACTTTTGCACAGTGTTTATGAAATACTAATAATAATTTACCAACTGTCTCAATCATACTTGTTTCTCAATAAAATTAAAATTAAAAAAAGAATTTACCTATGCATATTTAGTTATTTTTTTAAATGTTAATTTATTTATTTTGTACAGGGTATTTCTACACAGCTCAGACTTATAGTGATCCTCTTGTCTCAGCCTCCCCAGTGCTAAGATTATAGGTATGCGCTACCACACCTGGTTTTGGTGGCAGGATTGGTGCTGGGCTAGCACAGCATGTGGTACTGGAGATTGAACCTGGGTCCTTGCACTTGCCAGGCAAGTGTTTAGACCACTGCTATCTCCCTGGCCCTACCTATTTATATTTATACAAGGAGAAATAATAATTATTTCAGAAATCTAACAAAGATTTCAAGAGTACTAGACTAATAGTGTAATATTTAATTTTGAAAATGTAGAATTTAGCAAGAGACAGGAAAAGGAATATTGTGGGACTGTCCTGCTTCAAGGTTGTATATGGTGAGATTTTTGGACTTATGTGCAAACATGAGAAGCATAGAATTCTTTATCCTATTTTTTAAAATATAATCTAATTTTTAAATGTTTTTTATCATATTATGTAGGGACTTAAAGTTCAACATATCAATACTTGATGAAAAATACCTGTTCCTTATTATGCCTAAGATGTTTGAAATGCAGTGAGATAGTGAGGTTAAGATTGATAGCCCAAATCGTTTGATAATAACAATAAGCTTTTCTTCTGGATGGTTAACAACCTAAGTTTGCAGACCAAATTAGAGAAAAAGGAAGGATACAAGGAAAGCCAACATTTTGGCCCTACCCTTCTAAGGTCAATTAAGACTCAGGACATATGAGAACTTGTACTGTAACGTCATGTACCTCGGTAGTGTCCCAAATTTTCTGATCAAGAAGATTATGGGGCCAAAGAGGAAAGTGATCGATGACGTAGAGTGTGCCTAAGGAGAGTCACATGGGGAGAAGACACTCTCAGGCTTTCACAGAGAGCACATTGGCCAAGCAATGGTCGTGACTCATCCACATGGCTGCACTGATGAAGTTTCTACAATCTGAGGTACAGGATCTCAGGACAAATCCTGAGGGCATTTCACTGACCTTCTCAGACCAAAAAGCTACAACTCTTGTTGCATAGGTCCTGCTTTACCTTGGTCTTAACCATCCAGTAGAAAAGTATGAAGTCGAAATATAAGAAATAAAGCCATGCTGTTAAGTTGAGCTGTGGGGGACTCAGGTCAATAATTTCTGACATTGCCAGTTAAATATAAGACCCAATGCTATTATGGTCTACTGGACTCTTTTAGAATATTTTGCTGAGTTTACACACCTATAATATTCAATAACGGAACTTAGAAAAAATGGGGTATACCGATGAATGTCCATTTTGTATCTGTGTATTCAAAGAGGTTGGGATAGATATATAGTTGCATTCTCTTAATGAATAGAATGATTTGTTCTAATGGTGTTTGTAAATAGGATCACAAGTCCGCATCTTGTACAGCAATTAACCACTAAGAAGAATATATGCAGTGTATTATTTGTTGAAACTGTCCTTCCGATTTGATTTGAAACTGTCTCATTGCTATCTGTTTGTCAATAAAACTTTGAAAAAAAAATAAAATAAAATAAAATAAAAATAAAAAAATAAAATAAAAAAAAAAGAAAATGTAGAATTTAGGTCTCTTGAAGACTGGTAAAATTAGTCTGATTCCTGGGGAAAATGAATTTCTCATTCCACTTGTTCTTTTTAGCCATCAATGAGTAATAATAGATAGAATTTCTGCTTTAGTTGGTATCTTACAGGTTTTGGGATTGGGAATGTTTCCTGGGATGTTTGCCCTTAACCTGTATTTACTGGTGGATGCTTTCTTAGACACTGGAAATTTATTATTCATGTTCATTTTCCAATTTTAATCAGTTTCTTGTCATTGTGCTTCACAGACTTTCACTCCCCTAGTAGACAAACTGGGTTTGGGTTCTGTGGTGCCAGTCGAGTATCTTTTGGATCGAGAGCTGCGTTTCCTGTCAGATGCTACTGGATTACATCTGTTCCAGGTACTTCACTATACTCTTGTCTTAAGCTTGTTATTTTGTTGCTAACTTTTTTTGATACAAATGTTGGTGCCCCTGCAGCATATCTATGATTTCACCAGTGAATTTTCCAGTGCCTTTTAAAGTGTTTGTGCTTCCTTTAAAAATACATTTGGTGACTGAGGATTTTTTCTTCATGCGTGTACCCTAACCCCCCACCCTTAAGGCTACTTTGAACTTAAGACCACTTTTCTGAGTGTCCCTTCAGATGAAGTGGCTTCTCTAAGGTGGCTGCTTCTGTAACTTGAGCCTGAAAGGGCCTATGCTTACTTTAGTGACAGGTAAGTTGGGAGGAATATAAACTGGTTCCAGGCACCATGAAGCTCAGAAAGAGCCTAGGTATACCTTTGGTTACATAGAAAAGATGTAAGTTGTGTTGGTTTGTTTGTTTCCATTTTATTTTGGGTTTTGAGACAGGGTCTCAGTGTGCAGTTCAAGCTAGTCTTTTTTTTTTTTTTTTTTTTTTTTTTGTGGCTGGCTCAACCCACCCTGAAGGTGGGGCTGGTGGGGCATGTGGTGCCATGAATTGAACCAGGGTCCCTGCACACTTGCCTAAGCTTGACTAAGCAGGCACTTTAGACTACTGAGCTATATTGCCGGCCTTCAGGCTGGCCTCAACCTCTTGAGTGCTGGGCTTATGTGTGTGTGTGCACCACCATGCCTAGTAAAAAGGGATGTTAATAATTTAAACTAGCTCGTGAGTTATTTTAGAATTTAAAATATACATTGTTTTATTATTTCTAGTGGTTGCTATATAAAATGGTTTAAAGTTGAGAGACTTCTAAGAGTTTATCATTGAGAAAGCCAAGAACATTATTTTCTCAGCTGTGTTGAGCTACTGATGATATCTTTTTGTTGTCTTCCTCCCGCTGTAGTCCTTACTTTATTTTTATAATCCTGGTATTTATATAAGGTGACTTGGTAAATGTTGTATGAATACCAAGACGAAGAGAAAACATGAAATAAAATATTTTGTGGTCAGATACGATGAGAAACACTGGCTCAAATAGATTTCTTTATAAATCTCAAAATTTCTTTCTAATTCTCAAAGCATTTAATAAGCTGTTAGGTGTAGAAAGATGCAGTATGTAATACTTTCCAAGATGAAGTGGTCCTACCATACTTAATTTTTATGGAGTCTCATGAGGCTAGAGTTCTACAGACAGTTTTGCCAACGATTGATAGAGAGCTTCCTTGGGATATGATTTTTCCCCATCTAGTTAAATACTCATCTTAACAAATTGTTTTCTTGTTTTATCTTTATAGATGGGAACAGATAGCCAAAACCAGATCCTTTTAGAACATGCTGCACTGAGAGAAACAGTTAACGCTTTGATCAGTGACCAGAAGCTGCAGGAGATATTCAGCCGAGGTAAGAAAAGGTTTTCTGTCCTTGAACTCTGAATCAGGTGAATTGTCAGCATTGGATGATCTAGAGTGGAACATCAGGCAGCTATAAACATTTATCTTATATTTGTGGGTAGAGTCAAAAGTGTAGTATCTCCATTTAACTGGATCTTTAGAATAAAGTAGGAAGATATAATCACATTCAGACTGGTGTTTTCTCTGCTTTCTTTTTTTTTTTTTTTTTCTTCTGCATTTCACAATATAGTTTTGATTTAGGGTTAATATTTTTTCTTAAATATTAAGAACTTACTATGTATTAATATCTTGTTAATGCACTGAGGATATAGTCTTTAGTTAGAAAGTCTTTACTAATTTTCAATTTACTACCTGCAAATTTCTTGAAGAACTGTGATACCAACAAATAACTTAGCAAAGTATCAGGCTGTTTCACATAAATAACTTGATCCCCCTTCCCAGTAGTACTGAGGCTTGGGCCTTGGACCCAGGACCTTGCACTTGCTAGACCAGTGCTCTACTAAGCTACATCCCTACCTTTGTTTATTTACCTATTACTTAATTAATTAATTTATTTTTTGAGACATAATCTTGCTTTGTAGTCCAGGCTAGCCTTGAACTCATGGCTGTCCTCCTGCCTTGGCCTCCTAAATTCTGGGATTACAGCTGTGTGCCATCATACCCAGCTCATCTCTTGATTATCAAACATCTTTGTTTTTGGTCTTTTTTGGGACAGGGTCTCACTATGCAGTGCAGGCTGGCCTTGAGCTCATTTTGTAGCCCAAGCTAGGCTACAAAGCAATTAGCCTCCTGCCCCAGCCTCCGTGGTGCTGGAATTACAGGCATGTGCCACCATGCTTGGCGCAATCAGACATTATTCTTATGTTCACATTTTCCTTGGAGACCCAAGGAATACTCCTTTACTGAAAATTATTAATGTGGGTGCCAGAAAGAAGGTGAATAGACATATGATGTGTAATGAAGAAGGAATAAAGTACCACTTTATCCCCTTTGTGTGGCTCCTGTCTCAATAAGCAAAAATACAAAAAATTAATAAGTAAATAAAAATCAAGTAATATGGAGGAAGAAAGAATATGAGAAAAAACTGGTAATAGAGAAAAAATGGAGTGGAACAAATGAAAGTTAGAGATATACATATGTATTGAAAAATTAAGGGAGCTTAATTATAGCTCTGAGAGAGAATAATCTAAAATTAGTAAGGCATTTGCTGTATAGTCTCAAATGTACAATGATATGTGGGAGAAAGAAACTGCCCCTCTTAGAGAGACTCAGTTGAAATTGCTGGGTAATATTACCTGCTGATGAAGTAGTATCTTTGAAACTGTGTTCCTAGGAAGACAGGTGCTATATTTGTTCAGACTATTATTGGTGCAAAGGCTGGACACCTCTTAAATTGAACTCTCCACACACCATTATTGAAAGAGGAGAATGTTAACAGTCATATGTGATTCTGTGGTCACTTAATATAGCACATTCAGCTTGGTGGCCTCCCACATTTTTATGTATATGTCAAATGTCTGAGTACATTTCTATGCTGTCTGTAGCTTTTTATGTATACCTTTTTTTCTCCTTCCTATATTACTTCTAGAATGTTAAGATTGAGGAAAGGTGGAATTGGAAAACAATTTTAAGGACTATCCAAATACACAAAAAGTTTATGAAGACCATTTAAGTTTTATTTTTAAATTGGTATGTATGAGGCCTGGGGAACTTGCCTACTATGCCTGAGGCCTTGTGTTCAATCACGAGCACCACAAAAATAAAATTAAAACTGCTGAGTATGATAAATCTGGAATTGGTCCTTTATTCAGCTTTGTATAGTAGACTGAAAATACCATATACTACATTATACAGTTTATCTTCAGCTGTTAAAAACCACTATAGGGCCAGAGATATAGCTCAGTAGCACAAGCGCCTGCCTGGCAAGCACAATGTCTGGAGTTTTATTCCCAGCACACACACACACACAAAAAGCAAAAAAACCCAACTGTAATACATAGTTTAGCCCTAACTACTCAATTCTGACTGATCTCTCCTGTAGGTCCCTACAGTGTTCAAGGTCACAGGGTCAAAGTGTACCAGCCAGAGGGGGAAGAAGGGTGGCTCTATGGCATTGTAAGCCATCAGGACTCCATCACCCGTCTTATGGAGGTGTCTATAACTGAGGTGAGGCAATTATTTTGTCTTAAGGCACAACCATCCCCAAACAGAGGATGGTGTAAAGAAAGTAAGCACTCTGGTACCAATGAGAAAATGCTGATTCTATTCCTGGCTCTGTTGCTTACTGATATTATGACTGAGAAAGACATTTTTCACCTCACTATTCTCATCTGTAAGCTAGGAGTAATTATATAAACCTCTCCTGACCTCATATCACTCTTTTAAGGCTTAATATATTTGAAAATAGTAAAATAGTATATAAATGTAAGAGGATATTACTTATCATACTTATAATAGAAAAGACTTAAAAAGACTAGTTGGGCATAGTGGAGCATATGTATAATTCCAGCACCCTGGGAGGCTGAGGCACAAAGATGGCAAGTTGAAGCCCAGCCTGGGCAACTCAGTAACTTTTTGTTAAAAATAGATGTTTCCAGGGCTGGGGAGATGGCTCAGTAGAATAAGCGCTTCTCTGGCAAGCGCAAGGGCCTGAGTTCAAGCCCTGGTCCCACCAAAAAAAAGTTGTTTATATATATATAAAATTGTGAAAGCACCATTTGCCTGGAGCAAACATCAGCAACCACCATTTGGTATATATTTCATATTCCTAACATTTTCTATATATATAATAGTTTTTACATATTATTTACATAACAATTATATAAGTTATACTTTAATAATAAACAGAAATGATATATACATAGTTATATAATGTATCTTTTTAATTGTATATAATAAGCATCTTTGTATGTCAATATAGAGATCTGACTTTTAAAATATATGTGTACTATTCCATTACATGGTTATATATCTAACATTGAGACATTTAAATCACTGCCAGTATTCTCACTAATACAAATAATGGCACAAGGGACATACTTGAACATACTTTCACATATACTATAATAAATTTTTTGGTGTGTAATTGCTAAGTCAAAATATTGTATATACACAATAAATTGATGCCTTCCGTCAAGCTGGCTCCTTTTCCAGTTTTGATTCTTTAATAACAGAGTGATTCTTTTAATGATTATTGATGCTGAAGGTTTTTAATTTCATAATATGTCAAATAGGAATGTTTTAGAGATGCAATATTTGAAATGAACATCCCTAAAAGACACACTGGCATTGAACTGAATTTTTTTATTCATTCACTTAACAAATATTTGAATGCTTACTATATTCCAGATTTCGTTTCAGATGTCGTTACTGTAGCAGTGAACGAAATGGTAGAGATGTCTGCTCCCATAGAGCTATCATTCTAGTAGAAGAGTAGAAACAGTAAGGCAGCAGTTACATAGATTAGGAGAATGCATAATTATGTCTTTGTAGACAAGGCTTTAAATATCTTTTTTTCCCCTTTTTCTTATGTTCTTCTGCCCTGCTCTTGTCATAGAGTGGTGAGATCAAGTCTGTAGATCCCAGACTAATCCATGTGATGCTGGTGGATAGCTCGACGCCTCAAAGTGAGGTATAGTAATGAACTGATTCTGTGAGCAGACTCATGAGCTTATGTTATCTTGTTATGTAGATTCCTTATGTTTGTGTTTTCTATGGATGCCCTTTGCAATTGCTTAGCTTTGATCATTACATATTTTTTTTTCTCTGTTTGTCTAGTTAAGAGGAATAGTCTCAAGAAAGAGACCTATTTAGAGGAAAACCCTTAAATTATGGTTGTATTCTCTAGTTATAAGTTCTGAGTCTTATTCTTTTTTTTTTTTTAATATATATTTGGTATAGGGTTTACAGGGTCTCACTATGTAGATTGGACTGGTAGTGGTTCTCCTGTTTTCAGCCTCCCAAGTGCTGGGATTACAGGCTAGCCCCACCACGCCCAGTCTTAATCAATGTCTTAGTGTGCCCCAGGGGCAGGACCAGCATCGCAAGCCAGGGATAGAACCCTAGCTCTTGCACTCTGACTACGCAGGTGCTTTAGTCTGTTGAGCTGTTTGGCTGGCCCCTCCTATTTCTTCTTATGTTCTCTCCGGACAAATATATTTGAAAGGGATACTAGACAAATGAAACTGTTAATAAGTAGAAATAGGGGCCGGGGAGATGGCTTAGTGGAATAAGCGCTTCCCTGGCAAGCGCAAGGACCTGAGTTCAATCCCCGGTTCCGCAAAAAAAAAAAAAAAAAAAAGTAGAAATAATCATGACCTTACCCAGTGATAGGAAATTAAGAAAAAGCTACATCCTCTTCCCCCAACTCATTAGGCAGTAGTAAGATCCAAGGGAGTCTGATATTCTATATTCCCAAGTAGAGGTAAAATCAAATAGGTGCCTACTTCACCTATTTGAAGCCTTATTCAATGCTTAGCACATAGTAGATTATAATTATGAACCAGGCCAGCCCTTGATTCATTTAGAATTCTAGCCCTCAAAAAATACATAATATATATCTGCTTGAGGGGCTGGTGAGATGGCTCAGTGGTCTAAAGCACCTACTTAGAACAAGCTTAGCAATTCAGAGGGACCACGGTTCAATCCCCCAGCACCACATGCCAGCCAGCCCCGCCCCCTGGTGGGCTGAGCTGGCCACACACACACACACACACACACACAAATAAATAAATAAAAAAAATTAAAAATAATAATAATATATATCTGCTTGAATCAGTCAAGGAATCCTGTATGAATTGCCTTCAGTAGACCAACTGTCCATGTTATTCCTCACTATATATTTGCACTATTGTAAATATTGTTTTCTTGGCCATTCCTGCTAAGTATTGAATCCTTCATCGTTTTTATCCATTCTTGACTTGATAATAATATCAAAGTAGGAAGAGAAGAAACAAGATTAAATTTAACAGTTCTTATGTATTAGATTACCATGAATAGAATATTTCTAAACTTTTATTTGTGTGGTTGAAAACACTTATCATGATGATGTACTGGGCTCCATTTTTATTTTTTTCTTTATTTCATTTCATTTATTAAGTGTGTATTATATTGCAGGTACTGTTCAGCTGACCCACTATAAGTGGAAAAAACTGGTCTCGGTGTCCTAAAGTACCTACTTGTGTGTCAGTAATCTCCTAACGTAGGATACACATACAAAATTATTGTTTAAGAGATTCAGATGTGGTGGTACACACCTATAATTCCAGGATTCAGCAGGCTGAGGCCAAAGGATTGCTGAGAGTTCATGGCTACCCTGGGCTACATAGTTCAAGCCAGCCTGAACCACATAATGAGAACTTGTCTTAAAAGAAATAAAGAAGAAAAAAAAAAAAAAAAAAAGAGGCCCTGTAAGTTGGCTAGATGAATTAGAAGATAGATCTTTAGGGGATGGGGAGATAACTCAGCTGTCTAAGCACTGTGTGTGTCACTGTGCTGGTCGCCAAATTGGGGCATGGTGGCACACATGCCTGTAATCCAGCACTGGGGAGGTTGAGACAGGAAGATCACTACGAGTCTGAGCTGCATAGGGAAAACCTGTACCAAATAATTAATTTTTTTTTTTTAATTAAAAAGAAGATACAGGGCTGGGGATTTGGCTCAGTGGTAGAATGCTTCCCCAGAAACAGATTTGGTTCTTCCCTTTGTTTGGCTTTGCCCTAATATAGCTATTTTCTTGACTAGCAAAGTATAGTATAATGATTGACAGTTTGCCATATTTTACACTAACCCTTCTTAGAGATTCATGATTGTCTCATCATCTTTAAGTATGCATATGAGTGAATGAGCAGAAAAGAAAGGATGGATTTGTAGGATATGGTGGTGTATGCTGTAATCTGAGATACTCAAGAGGCTGAGGAAGGAGGATCACAAGTTGAAGACTGGCCTGGACAATTTACTGAAACTTGTTCTCAAAATAAAATTTAAAAAGAAAGAATGAATTTCACTGAATATACTTGTGTAGTTAAAAACACTGAAGGGGCCAGTACGATAGCTTAGCTGACTAAAGTGCCTGCTTAGGCACAAGGACTGCAATTGGCTCCTCAACACCACATACCACACCAGCCCCGCCCCCATGATGGACTGAGCTGGCCAGAGTCCAGGTGTAGTAGCATACCCCTGTAATCTCAGCACTGAGGAAGCTGAAAGCAAGAGGATCACCCTAAGCCTGAGCTGCATAGTGAGACCCTGCAATAACCAAATACATTAAAAAAAAGAAAAAACTGAAAACTTCATGGTGATAAACTGAGAAAAGGAAAAAAACTAACTCTGAAATAAAAAGTGTTCAGCGAACAAATAGTTCTTAAATGAAAGACTTGCAAAACTTACATATTACCAGAAGTATCATTAGTATTTATCATAGTATTACTTATGATTCTCTATTATTATTACTTATACTATGCTTTTGGAAACTCAGATGATATTACTGTAAGTATGAGGAAATGGAAATAAATCTTGAGCTTTAGCAATTATAGCGAGAGGGTTGGTCATAACCATGTAATATCTATAATCCCAGCATTTAAGAGGCTGAGGAAGGAGGAAAACAAGTTTGACTCCAGCCTCAACTCCATAGTGAGTCCCTTTCTCAAAGCACAAAGTTGTAGAAACATATAAAAGGAGAAATGAGAAATGAAGGCAGAAAAAAAAAAGGAAAAATAAACTATAACAATAAGAAATACAAGTTACACAGTAAGAAGAAATGCAACATTTGAAAAAAATCAATAGGGAATAAGGGATGGAGGGAAAAGGAAAGAGGGAAAAAAATTTTAAATGTGAAAATGAGTAAAATATTACAATAAAAACACAAGTCTGCAAAGGATCAAGGACAATAAGAAGTCATGTGTGATGGTGTGTGTATAACTCTAGCTACTTGGGAGGATAAGGCAAAATGATCATGTTTGAGGCAGTCTGGGCAACTTAGTGGAGACCCTGTCTCAAAATAGAGTTTAAAAAGGACTGGAAATGTAGCCCAGTTTTAGAGTGTTTTCCTAGGGTATGCTCTGACCTGGGTCACATCCCAAGTTCCACCCAAATTAAGTAAAAAGACAGTAAGAGTAATTAAATTGGTAAATTTTTATTTATTTATTTTTTGGCTGGTTCAGGCTACCTTAAGGGCAGATCTGGTAAGGCATGGAGAGCTGGGGATCGAACCATGGTCCCCTGTGTCTGACTGGGTTTGCCCCGGCAGGCTCTTAAACAACTGAACTAACCCCACAAGCCCCCAAAATTGGTAAATATTAATGGCTAAAAAGCTATATGTCACTAGTTTATTACTCTATGGACGTGTTTCTGAGTGAAGGTTGTTTGTAATTGTTTTTAGTTATGTGCTTCATAGTGAGATGCATAATCATCTAAAAATGTCCTGGATGTAAATCTTTGCTACTCAATTCTTGTTCAAGATAATGTCAGCTGTATCTCATCCCCTACTCCCCTCATCCCTCAATGGATAAGAGGTTATTCAGTGATGTGAATTGTCTATTCTAATCCATGTCTTCTTATTCGTGTATCCACTCAAATAAGGCACAGTAAAATTTAATGAGATAGCCTGAAAATTACCAGGCGAAAGAAGACTCTTTAGCCTGTGGTAGTTTGCTTTTCTCTCCTTCCTCTGACTAGTGCTTTTATTTTTTTATTTTATTTATTTAAAATTTTTTATTTATTTTTTGACAACTCATACAGAATTTTACTTAACAAAGTAATATGAATTTCACAGTATTTGTTGTAATACATGGTATTGTCTTACAACCAGCTATTCATATTACCAGATATATACACATAAAATTGGAAGAAGAAAAAAACTGGAGCAATGTAAAAGAAATTAAGAAAAGAAAAAGTACAAACAATTGAAAAAAGGAGGCGAAGCTAATTAGAGCATTGACTGCTTCTTTCCATTTCCATTTTTTTTTCTTTTAAAAAAATTTTATTCATTTATTTATTTATTTTTTTGTTCTGTCAGAGGTGAATATTCTATTGGCATCTAAATACTGTAAGTGTTTGAATTCAACTAAACATCTAACACTGTCTAGCAGTCTATAATATTAGTGGATTATCCTCAGAAGTTATTGACTTGAGCCTTTTACAGCTCATCGTATTAATATGGATTTACTTTATATACCTCATTTTTATACTTTTCTACTGGATGGTTAAGACCAAGATATAGCAAGACCTATATACCCAGAAATGTAACTTTTGTATCTGATAAGGTCAGCCAAGTACTCTCAGAATTTATCCTGTAGCCCTGTACCACCTTTTGTACATCCTTTTGTCAGTGTCTGACATGAGGATGAGTCACGGCCATTACTTGACCAATTTGCACTCTGTGAAAGCTTGAGAAAATGTTTTTTCTCTCCATGTGACTCTCCCCAGGCTCACTTTAGATCCTCGAACACATTTCTCTGTGGCTCCATAATCTTCTTGATCAGAAAATTTGGAGCACAACTGAGTTAAATGTTGTTACAGTACAGGTTCTCCTATGTCCCGAGTCTTCACTGACCTTGAAAGGCTAGGGCCAATGACTAGTGCTTTTAAATTATATATGGATCAGTCATCTGTATAGTGTTTATTTATATAAGCAATCTACACATGTCTTTGTCAAGTTCACTTTTCCTTTTGTCACAGATTGATAAATATATTTTCAACAATTTATGGATAGATGTGGTTTCATATTGTAGTAATGCACATTTTTAGTAAAAACAGAAAGATAGAACCAGGTGGGAGTAATTACATCTGTAATCACAGCACTTGGGAAGTTGAGGCTAGCGGATCACTTTGAGTTCCAAGGCCATCTGGCCTACCAGGTGAGTTCAAGGCTAGCCTGAACTACATGTCTCAAAAAACAAAGACATGAAAACAAAAAAATCAGGAAGATAAATATGCAGGAGAGCAAGTTATTTCATCAAAAGGCAAATGAGCTCCCAATCTAGCTAGCTCTGACAGTTTTATAAAAGAAATTCTACACTTTTTTTTTCTCACGCCAGATGGGTAATGTGCCCATGTAGTAACAAAGTTTGAGGGAGGCACATCTCATGTATAAAGCAGGAACACCCAATCATCACGCTCACAAACCAAAGGATCACACAAATTGTTAAAATGCTCAAATTCCATCTAAAGAAGTAGTGTATTTTATATAAAAAAAAAGTTTCCCAAGGGAATTAACCTCTAGTAACTTTTATCCTGAGAGAGTGTGTGTGTGTGTGTGTGTGTGTGTGTGTGTGTGTGTGTAAATTGGTTGAGTTCTAATCACAGGATTAGAGATTCTTGACAGGAAGGTGTCTGAAAGCTGCCATCAGAACATGGCTATCTGCGCTTGCTGTCTCCTTTTAGAAGTGGCAGAGAGCTAATGGATTGTGGTTTTCACAAGGTGAAAGGTCCCTTATAATCTTTTTTGAATTTTGTTTTGTAGGGGGGTATGTTAAAAGCAGTAAAACCTTCCAAAGGAAAGAAGAAGAGAGACAGCATAGAAGGGAAAGATGGCCGGAGAAGAAAAAGTGCTTCAGACTCTGGGTGTGACCCTGCATCAAAGAAATTAAAAGGAGACAGGGGTGAAGTAGACAGTAATGGGAGCGATGGAAGTGAGGCAAGCCGAGGGCCGTGGAAAGAAGGTAATGCCAGTGGAGAGCCAGGGCTGGATCAGAGAGCCAAGCAACCACCGTCTACATTTGTCCCCCAGATTAACCGCAACATTCGCTTTGCCACTTATACCAAAGAAAATGGCAGGACTCTGGTGGTGCAGGATGAGCCTGTAGGAGGGGACATACCGGTACCTTTCACTCCGTATTCTACAGGCACAGGTCAGACACCTTTGGCCCCAGAGGTGGGTGGAGCCGAAAACAAAGAGGCAGGAAAAACACTGGAACAAGTTGGCCAGGGCATGGTGGCTTCAGCAGCTGTGGTCACTACCGCCAGCTCCACCCCAACCACAGTGAGGATCTCAGACACTGGCCTTGCAACAGGGACTGGGCCGGAAAAACAGAAAGGCAGCTGGTCACAGGCCTCAGGAGAGGTGAGTTGCTTAAGGGGGCAAATTTGCTAGATATGGGTTCAATTTTCATTCTCCTTTATTGTTAAGGCATTAAAAAGCATCTCAAATGTCTCAAGAAAGGAGTAGTCTTGAGATGTGCTTAAATTATACTCCATAGATCAACTTTTACTGCTCATTGGGCAAATGTGTATATTTTAATAACTATCAGTTCTTAAAGGGCACCTAAACAATTGGACTAATCAAAAACTGATTATACAACCCAATTTAATGAGATATTAAAATAGATCTGGTGGGGACTCTCTTTAATTCAATTTTCTATTTAGTTCATGTAGTGGTTTGAGCCTCCACCAGGCCTTTGAGAGACAAGGTTAATGAGTTACAGTGCTGGTAATATTGAACACCATAATTAAAACTATGCATGCAAGCTACCAGTACCTTGTTTTCAGTTTATCATTTTATGTGATATTTTCTCTTGAGGCTGGGCTAATTTCCATCATTTGATGTATCCCTGAAAGCTTTTTTTTTTTCCCCCTCACTGATTTCATTCTTTTAAACTTTGGAAAATTTTTATGGATTTACACAAGATACACATTTATTTTATTCTTTATATGATATGTATGTTTTTGCTAAAATGTAACTTATTAAATGTAAGTTAATGTCAGGTTGTTTCCTCAATCTCAATTTGAAACAATGTCATAATTTATTATTTGCTAATTTCTCATTAAACCGTGATTTGTGGTTTATGGTACTAGCTATATTAATGTTCTTTCTCAAGTAGGCTAATTAAGCTAAAATATGAAATGCAAAGATGAAGTGCTTAATGACTTTTAAAAATTACATAACCAAGGCATGGTAGAATGTGCCTGTAGTTCCAGCCACTCAGAAAGGTAAGGTGGCAGCCTTGCTTGAGTCTAGAAGTTTGAGGCCAGCCTGAGCAACTTAGCAAAAGCCATTCTGAAGAAAGAAAACAAAACTAAATTCTATATAGGAAGTTTCGAGACTGGGCGTGGTAGTGCGCACCTGTAATCCCAGCTCTTGGAGGCTGTAAACAGGTGAATCACTACAAGTGTGCTCTACTAGTGAGACCCTGAAAACCCTGTAGACCCTTCCCTAAAAAATTAAATAAATAAATAAAATTATATAGGAAGTTGCTATGTGCTAAGTACTGTCTATTTCAAATAAATTCTTGGGATCCCTAATTGAAGGAGAGCACATTTCAAAATGGAATCATTTCAGGTACAACAGTGCCAGATAGAAAGTACCATAGGCCTGGTAAGGAAATTGCCTAGCATGTGTGAGGCCCTAAGTTTGATCCCCAACACTGCAAAGAAAACCAGGGCTTTAACATTTCATCTGACTTTTCCCCTCTATAGCAAATTCAATTTGTTATTCCCTGCAGGATAGGGAGGAAGTGAAATGTCCAGACATAAAAGGAGAAGGGCACAATGGCACACACCCATAATTCCATCAAGTTGGAAGGCTGAGACACAAAATTGAAAATCAAAGCTGGGCATGGTGACACATGCCATGATTCCAGGCAAAAGGATTACTGCAAATTCAAGTCAGCCTGAACTACAAAGTGAGACCCTATCTCAAAAGAAACAAACAAACAAAAATGAAAGAAAGAAAAAAAAAATTCAAGGCCAATCTGGGCTACTTAGCAAGAAGATTCCATGTCAGAATTTAAAAGAACTGCAGATATAGCTCAGCAACAGAGCACTTGCCTAGCATTCTTTGGGGTTCAATTCCCAGTACCACATACATATACCTAAAAATGCAAAATTTTAGTTTGTGACTTTTCTTGTTAGTTGACCAGCATTTCCAAATGGTCCAGTGAGAACCTTATTCCTTATTTGTATTTCCTATATGTATAAGTAATTATAGAGCTTGAGTTACTTAAAAACTCTCATGTTGGGGCCAGCCAGATAGCTCAGCATTAGGCAGAACACAGTGGCTGGGGTTCATGTGCTGTGCCAGCCCCACCTCTGGAGCACACTGAGACTGTGACTGAGACTGGGCATAGTGGCGCACACCTGTAATCCCAGCGCTTGGGAGGCTGAAAACAGGAGGATCACTATGAATCTGATCTGTGTAGTGAGACCCTGTAGACCCTATACTAAATACATTAAAAATAAACCTCCCATGTCAAGGGCCAGTGAGAGAGAGGGCCAGCCAGATAGCTCAGGGTATTAAAGTACCTGCTTAAGGCAGGCACAGGGACCTGCATGCTGGCCCAAACCCCAGGGCATGCCTGCTTAGGCAAGGTCATGGACTGGGTTTGATCCCCAGCACCACATACTGCTCCAGCCCTGCCCCCGCGCTCCCTGCACTGATACTGGGCCTGTTGGTGCATACCTGTAATCCCAGTGCTGGGGAGGCTGAAAGCAGGATCACCACAAGTCAGAGCTGCTTAGTGAGTCTCTGTACCAAATACATTAAAAAAAAAAAAAAAATGTAGCAGTGTAAATATAAATGAGGCTTATAAACTGAACCAATTTTATGCTTATAAGGAGAGGGGCCAGGGAGATGGCTCAATGGAATATGTGCTTCCCTGGCAAGCACAAGGGCCTGAGTTCAATCCCCGGTTCTGCCCCCCCCCCTTAAAAATTTAAGCTTATAAAGAAGAGATCTAGTGAATTACTCTTGGAATAACAAAGTTAAATAGATGAAATATGGATTAAACAGTTTCTTTCAAACAGGTTGGAGAAGATTTCTGGAATCAGTCATTTTGCTAGTGTTTCAGCCTGTCTTCTAGGATATGATTTTGAAATACAGACATAATGTTTCCATTACAATGGTTAATCTAAAATACAGAAAACAGTCACCAAAAACATTCTTGTCCTAAAAACTGAGTTGAATCAGTTTGTTATCACTCTCTTATAAGGAAAGGACTTGAAATTTAATCATTTCAAAAAAAATGAAAGGCCATCCAAATTATTTTTCATTCATGTGTGCATTTATTTTTATTTATTTATTTATTTTTGGAACCGGGGCTTGAACTCAGGCCCTTGTGCTTGCCAGGGAAGCACTTATTCCACTGAGCCATCTCCCTGGCCCTTGTACATTTATTTTTAAAAGGTAACTTTAGTAGTGAAAGATGAGCTGCTTCAAATCCTGCTAGCAAAACAACAGTAAAACCTCAGAGCCATGTTTCTCTCTCTCTCTCTCTCTCTCTCTCTCTCTCTCTCTCTCTCTCTCTTTCTTTTTTTTTTTTTCA